TAAAGTGCCTTTCCCAAAGACACAACGTCGGACCGAGCTGAGGCTCGAACCCCCGAACTCGCAACCTCACGATTACGAGTCCGGTAGCCTAACCACTAGGCCACCGACGCCACTTGGTCATTTAGTGCTGGGAAAAGTAAGACAGACAGACAGAAACAACAGAGGGAAATTGGTCGTTCTCCAACCGCCTGCTGAATAGAAACAAAGGAGGGAATATATTTATTTTATTTTAGAAAGGTCTTACGGCGATCCAACTGCATACGGTCATGTGAGCGCCATGGGAATGATGCCAACAGAGAAGTCCAAACGGGGAATCAGGCTTACTCTGCTCACCTATCTAGCCTCAACAGCACAAAAAGTCAGCTTTGACTATCAAGGCACCCAGGAAATAGCAGTTTTAAAGAGAGTGACAAACATACAAAAGAAGCAGAGGAACAGTGACGATAGTAAGGATGAGGAAAGAAAAAGCAGCAGTTCACCCTATGTTGTTCCGGCACAGTATGAGCATGACATTGATAAATCAGCCCATTTACAATTCTACTGTGCATAAGAACATGTTAATATCCCCCCTTTGGAAAAGGCCTAAAGACTTGAAGGAATCAAAAGAAGCAGGAACTAGATTATACAACTGGAATTTGAGCACAAGAGAGCATATATATCGTCGACAGCCAATAAGTGCAGGGGAGACAGACAGAAACAACAGAGGAAAAGAAAAAAAGAAGTAGAACCTGCCAGTGACACCCTCCAACAACCGTCGAGATAAACACGTCATAGAGTCATTTTCCAATGCATAGTTTCCACAACTATTTTTATTTCTTTAATCCCAGGAGAAAAAAACAAACAACTTTTCTGATTTCACAAAGGTACAAAATGTACCATAAATCGAGATCTTCTCGATCGTGAGGAGATTAGGGAAAACACGTCACAGCAGATCCGTTCAGACAGGCGAGAGATCCGCTGATGGATGGCGGGAAGGGGCGGGCGAGAGGGGACAACATAAGACAAGGGAGAGAAGAGTTAACTGACTACAAGCCCGACCAGAGATTTGTACTACACCTAGACCGCGCGTTCTAATGAGATCACTGGGAAAAGACTTCATTGAGAAGTGTTTGCAGTATGGGCCGCGCCATTTCGTCCATTTGAAGAGCTAAACACGCAGTCTCGCTATAGTTAAGCGCACACGGAATCTCCCTCCCCTTCCCCTTTAAAAAATTTTTTTCATCTCCTGCCTTTCATGTGTCTCAATCTCAACACTCAAATCAAAAAGGTGTGCTCCACAGTGAACCGGAAATACGTCAGCGCACACGGTCTAGGATATCATAACACAAGTCTATGAGCCCGACACTTCATTTGGTAATTTGGCCACTTAGCGAGGACATTTGAAAGCCTTTGATAAAAACACACAGAGGTATCTGGTGTTACCAGCCCGTTGGGGGGTGTGGGTCGGTGGGAGGTTTGGGGGGGGATAGGCGGGGTAAGAAAGCAATTGACAGACAAAAAATATATGCAGACAGGGGAGATAAATCCCCCAATTGCTAACTGCTCACCTCATCGGATTAACTGAAAATCATTTCAGGCTGTGCTTCTGGAGATCTTTAGAAAACGTCCACGATCGTACGACAACAAGGATCACTGCTTTTGGGGCATGGGTTTTATTTTTTTAATTTTTAATTTTTTTTTATTTA